TTAAACTGGCTGCAGAACCAACTCCATATTTATATTTATGCTTACTTTACGCAGTAGTGCTATACTCGTGCGATGCACAAGCTAATTTTATTAAGATAAGCATTTATAATTAGATGATTGAAAGAACGTAAAAATCCCATGTATTGGAATAAAACAAAACGTAACTTATATATTATTAAACAGAAAACAACGCTCCTCTGTGTAAACTGTATGTAAGAAACTATACAGTTGACGCGTATTTATATTAGTATTCTAAATAGGCTTAAATAAATCGATTAAATTATTTAACAGGATATATATGATATGATTTATACTGATTGTAAGAAGATTGAATAGGCAAATATACGAAGATTGTAAACCATTTTTCTTAATAATATATAGCATTATTATTTTAAAATTGTAAATTACTTAATTTAAGAAAAGAAAAATTTGTGTACATGTAAAATTTCAAATTTGTATTCCAGATTAAACAAAACTAATTTTTTTACGATGTTTCAATCTGATTTCATTTTGATTTTCAAATTAATATTATTAACTCTGTTTTATGTTTAAAAACATATGAACTAAAGAAAATAGTAGCCAAATGATATGAGATTTTTAAATTTAATTTTCAATTAGAAATTGGGCATTTCTATGCAATTTGATTTTTTTAGTAAACGTGATATGTTACAATTAGGTAAAGATAAATGTTATAGTATTTTGTCATTCAAAATTCTCTATTTTACGGTAAACAATTTTTTTTTTAATAAAAATGAGAGAATTTTGACTTTTACAAAATTGTCCTGCCGAATTTTACATAAATTAACCCAATTTATATACAATTCGATTTATTTTAATAAACAATTAATTTGTTACAATTAGGAAAAAATATATGCAATAGTATTTTGCCTAATTCAAAATTCTCGATTTTATGGTAATCAAATTTTTTATTAAAAAATGAGAAAAAATTTTGACTTTTTCAAAATTGTAAGTCGCAGTCCAAAGTTACCTAAATTAAATCCACAAAACCTATAAAACTAGAATGCATATAGTTGCTCGATTTGTTGGGAATAATTTAAAAAGAAAATCAAAAATTGTTGAAAATAGAAATCAATAAATGTTGGTTGAATTTTATTATTACTATTTTAGTAAATAAGTTTTCTCTTTATATATGTACAGATTACCAACAAAATTTCAATAATAATAATAATAATTAAAAAATAAATAAAATTGTTATTTCTCCTCATTTTGATCAACAATATTGATTTAATACTTGTTTATTTAATAAAATCTTATTTTATTTTGAAATACATATAGATAGATTTTATTTTATTTTATTTTATTTTTTTGGGTCTAGAAAGGAGGTCGGAGCCTAGAGTCCACTAGATCGTAGTTGCACGTGGATAAGCAACGCCGACGACGTCATGTAGAAGCCACGGTTGAACCTCTAGCGGCAGTACCAAAAGACGCTAATGACATCCCGATAGATAGATTTTATTTAATTAGTTGTATCATTCGATTTGTTGTTTGTCTATGATGCCTAATTAATTCTCATTTCTCCCAATTAATTGAGTTGTCGTGTCATCTGCTTGAAAAACATTCACCAAACATATTTTTTTTTTAAAAAAAAAAAAAAACTACAGAGACCAGAGTAGTTGGATATTTTATTTTATTATAATATTAGTACTGA